GTGTGAATTATACCAAAATATAGTATATTGACACATTGTTGAATGAAGTACAGTATTTCTGCCAACACAATATGTTGAGTTGACAAACTAACCAATACACTCTAGGTTAGTCTGTGTAATATTGTAGTCTTATAAACACAAATATTTCTGTACCTTGTGGAGAAGCCAAATAAAGGACAAGGAGGGAGATGGTGACTTTGCTGTTCATTGTGTTGTACTGATACAATACTACTTTATCTTCTTCCTGTTGCTGTGCTGTTGCACTCTGCTTCTAATTCCTCACTGCTTAGCAGCTTTATTTATTAACTGAACACTGAGTCAATCAGGAGGAGATGATGCAAGTGGAATTTTTCAGGAAGTTTTCACAGTTGTAAACATTTTTAACGAACTTCTTCTAAATTATTCACGTTGCTTACAAATTGCAAAGAATCTATGATTAATCTTGTTTGAAATTTAATTCCTCTTGAGATTAACACACTTTGCTCAGTCATATTGTGCTTAGGAAATTAATTTCCTGTCCAGCTCCAAATCAGCTGTGAATTCCCATTGATAAGTAAATGTGTGTGTCACTGATAAAACTTATTGAATTACTGCGTGTAAATGTGGATGTACAAAGTAATCATAAAAATTTACGAAAATATTGTGCAAATTAATTAATTATAACGAGAAGCTGAGTACACGGGAGTTCAGTTTTAGAGTTCAATAGGTTGGTTGAGAAAATAATAATATCAATAATAATAATTCTTGCATTTGATATAGCGCCTTATCATGTCATTGAGACATCTAAAAGCACTTCACAGAATATGCTGTAAAGTAAATTGACTGTGTATATTCTGGACGAAATGTAGCAGTCAATTGCGCAAAACCGTGTGCTACAGTGTCCCACAAACAGTCGTGGATTGAGTGACCAAATTACTTTTTTAAGGTATTATTATCCCGGAAAGTGATCCGCCAATTGCGCACAGCAGTGTCCCACAAACAGTCGTGGATTGAGTGACAAAGTTATTGTTTATTTTTTTTCTTGAAGGATTATTAATTAGGCATGTGGAGTAAGGAAACTTGTCCAACATGTCACCCTGCCGAGAGTCAAAACCAGGTTTCTTACTTGCGAAGCGAGCACTCTAACCACTGAGCTACAGGATGCCACATGGAGCTAAACATCATTCCACAGTGTTTAGCTCCATTCCCAAAACCTCTGATAATGAAGCAGTCCATGTCATATCTGCAGCAATACATGGATAACATTCAGGCTTGGGCTAACAAGAGGTAGATAACATTTGTACCACATAAGTGCCGAAATGACTATCTGCAATGAAAGAGAAACAACAGTAAATGACCAAGCAATCTCTCCCTAAATTTCGAAGGCACATCCATTGCTAAATCTCTAACCGTCAACATCCTGATGTCACCATCGATAAGAGACTTAACTGGCCCACATCAACAGTGTGACTATAAGAGCAAGGCAGTGGCTATGTATACTATGAAGGCTGGCTCATCAACTCACTCACCAAAAACTCTCCTCCATCTACAAGGCTCCAGTCAGGAGGATGATGGAATACTCACCACATGCAAAATTTGACATCTTCCGATAGAAAGCAGTTATAATAATAATAATAATAATCCTTGCATTTGATATAGCGCTTTTCACGTCGGGAGGACGTCCCAAAGCGCTTCACAGAACACAGTGGAAAGTGAATTGACTGTATATTTGTGGGCGAAAGCGGCGGCCAATTGCGCACAGCAGTGTCCCACAAACAGTCGTGATTGAAAATGACCAATTTATTATTGTTTTGTTTTTTGGAGTGATTATTATTAGGCTCTGTGTGGAGTAAGGAAACTTGCCCAAGGTTTCGCCCTCTGCCTGGAATTGAACTCAGGTCTCTCACTTGCAAAGCGAGTGCTCTAACCACTGAGCAACAGGACTCCACGAAGTTCTCCAGTTCACTTGATTGGGGCCCCAGCCACTCATGTCAAGATTCACTTCCTTTCTCAATGACTAAACTTCATGGGGATGGGGTGGTAAGCGGAATCTGCTTGAAGCTGAGCTGGGCCCAAGGTGACATCATGATAAAAATCTTAACACTTGATATAGCATTTTCAGATCATGATGATATCTCAAAGAGAATTTATTGTGTATTTTATGCATGCTTTGCAGCACACAGTAGTTGCCCACAACAAAAACAAAGTTACCTTTATAGAGCGCCTTTTACGTCGGCAGGACGTCCCAAAGCGCCAAACAGTCAGGAGTCGGGACCTGAGCATGGGGGAGGGGTGGTGTAGGGGTGATGGAAGGCAGAGAGGTGGGAGGGAGACCAAAGGCACGGTCGAAGAGAAGGGTCTTGAGACCGGTCTTGAAGGAGGCAAGGGAGGAAGCGAGGCGAAGGGAACATGGGATGAACAGAATCTTGAAGGTTGAGGTGGGAGGAGAGGTGGTGGAGCAGGATTGAATGGTCCACAGTGTCAAAGACAGCGGAGAGGTTGAGGAGGACGAGGAAACAGAGGGAGCCCTGGTCACATATTGTCAGGATGTCGTTTGTGACCTTGACCAGAGCAGTTTTCATGCTGTGGGCAGCACGGAAACCCAATTGGAGGATTCGTAGAGGGAGTGGAAGGAGAGGAAAGAGCAAAGCTAGGAGGCAACGGCTCTCTCAAGGACCTTGGACAGAAAAGGGAGGTTTGAGATGGGCCGGTGGCTAAATAGCTGTGATGGGTCAAGCAAATGTTTCTTCAAGGTGGGGGGTGATAGTGGCTGTTTTGAGTGGTGTAGAAACAGTGCCAGATGACAGGGAGAGGTTGGTGATATCAGCGAGTAGTGGGGCAAGGAGTTGGAGCTGGGATTTTAGGAGAGGGGTCCACGGAGCAGGTGGTGAGCTTCATGGAGGATATGGTGGTGAAGACAGAAGAGGAGATGACAGATTCAAAGGTGTGGAAGGAGGGATGGGTAATTGTCGGAGTGTGGGCAGGGAGAAGGGAGGGGATGGAAGTTGGAGGGGGCAGTGGCAACTGAGCGGATTCCCTCAATTTTGGACTCGAGGAAGTTCAGCATTTTCTTGCAATGGGACTCAGAGAAAAGAATCTGCTAGGTGCGGCCGGGAGGGCGGAAGAACCGGTTGGTGGGGGGGGGGAACAGGAGCCTGGGGTTGCCCTTCACCTCTAGAATTAATCTGGAATAGAAGGACGATTTGGCCGAGGCGAAAGCGGAGTTGAAGTTTTGATGAGGTCCAGTCAGATGTGGCGGTGGACAGTTAGGCCAGATTCGAGCCAAGTGTGTTCAGCAGCCCGCTTCTGGCCCTTAAGCGAGCGGAGGTGGCTGATGACCCAGGGTGAGGATCAGGAATAGGGAGCAGTTCGGGAGGTGGGGGGGGGGCAAGGGTGTCGAGTGTGGTGGAGAGGGTGCTGTGGAGAAGAGTAAGTTGGTGCGAGAGGTGAGCCAGAGGGGAGGAGTTCAGAGGACTCTAGGGCAGTGGAGAGGGTTTGTGGGGAGATCTTCTTCCATGGGTGCTGGAAGATGGTGGTAGGTTTGGAGGCAGTGGGGAAAGGGATATGGGAGTTAGGGAGATGAAATGGTGGTCAGAGATGATCTTGTCAGTGATGGTGACATCCGAGACGCTGAGGCCCCGGGTGATCAACAGGTCGACCGGGTGGCCGTGGGTGTGGGTAGCAGAGTGGATGTGGAGGGAGATGTTGAGAGGGGAGAGAAGTCTGAGGAGGTAGAGCAGGAAGGGTTGAAGTGGAGGTTGAAGGTGCGTTGGATGATGAGGAATTCAGAGCAGAGGCAAAGGGAAGCTAGGAGGGTGGAGATGTCAGAGATGAAGGTGGGGGAGGATTTTGGGGGGGAGTAAACTAGGAGGATTTTTAGAGCAAGGTGGGAGGGATGGCAGAGGATAAGGTTTTTGAAAGAGGGGAATGAACCGGTGGAGTAGGGGGATAGGGCAAATGACGCCCTGGATATGAGGGCCACACAACTGCCACAACGGTTGAGATGTGGGAGCATGGTGGTAGGTGTAGTCTGTGGCCTCAGCAAGGGGGAAGGTGTCACCTGGAGTGATCTAGATTTCAGTGAGGGCCATAATGTCAATGTTCTCATCGAGGATGAGTTCATTGACGGCCAAGATCTTGTTGCAGATAGAGTGGATGTTTTGAAGGCCAATGTGGGGTGGATAGTTGGCAAGGGGATGTGTGAGATGGGAGGGGATGGTGGATTGGTTGGCAAGGAGGGTGGGGATGAAGATGAGGGAGGAGAGGTTAGCCCCCGGGGTCTGGGGTGACTTGCGACGGTAGTGGGAAATGGGGCAGTCGGTGTGGCTGCTGCTGGACAGCCAGGGCCGAGTGCTCCGATGAGGCCGGCGAAAGATTCCCAGGCTGGAACAGAGGGAGGCAGTGGGGGAGTCAAAGAGAGATAGGAGGCAGGGAGGGCGGAGAGAGAGCAAGACAGAGCGGGAGAGTTGCAGGGAGGGGGGCATTTTGAGGAAGGGCTATCTCGTGTCAGGGGCAGCAGCCAAGATGAGCACGCCGAGATAGGAGGCGGCGGGTTGGTGGGACATTGTCAGCTTGCAGGAGGCTGTGAGGGCTCGGGGTGGTGCAGAGTGGAGAGGGCGCTTATTGTGGTTAG